GAATGGTATCGCCGGTAAGATTTCTTCTTTATAACTTAATTATGTAGATCAATTATTTGATTTGAGACAAACCAAAAGTCAAATTTTCATTCTGTAAAATGATGCAATGAAATCACAGCAGCAGAAAAAAAAAATGCATTTTTTGATTAATGTTGAAACTGTTTTTAATTTTTTTTAGAAGAAAATATAACCATGTATATTGTATGGAAAAAATATAATATTTTTGAATGAAATTTCTCCACTATGTATGTATTGAATATTATTTGCATATTGCAGCTGATAATACTGAATGGATGAATGAAACACCTAAGTCATTATGGAAGAAAATTATTGATGAAGCTCAAGATTATTATCATTATACTTTAGAATGGTATGTATAAACTATAAACAGAATGAAGTGGTGAAAGGTTGATAGCCAATATGAGAACTGACCTGCAAAATTTCCTTTTGTTTTATGAAACTTGTTTTTTTACTCCAAAACCATATTCCGGTGTTGATATTGTTTATTGTCCATATCTCAGTGATATTCAGTGGTTCTTTTGTCTATATTTCAGTGATTCTATTGACTATATTTCAGTGATATTCAGTTATTCTATTGTCTATATTTCAGTGATATTCAGTTAATCTTTTGACTATATTTCAGTGATATTCAGTTATTCTATTGACTATATTTCAGTGATATTCAGTTATTCTATTGACTATATTTCAGTGATATTCAGTTATTCTATTGACTATATTTCAGTGATATTCAGTTATGCTATTGTCTATATTTCAGTGATTCTATTGTCTATATTTCAGTGATATTCGGTTATTCTATTGACTATATTTCAGTGATATTCAGTTATTCTATTGTCTATATTTCAGTGATATTCAGTTATTCTATTGACTATATTTCAGTGATATTCAGTTATTCTATTGTCTATATTTCAGTGATATTCAGTTATTCTATTGACTATATTTCAGTTATATTAAGTTATTCTATTGTCTATATTTCAGTGATTCTATTGTCTATATTTCAGTGATATTCGGTTATTCTATTGACTATATTTCAGTGATATTCAGTTATTCTATTGTCTATATTTCAGTGATATTCAGTTATTCTATTGACTATATTTCAGTGATATTCAGTTTTTCTATTGTCTATATTTCAGTGATATTCAGTTATTCTATTGACTATATTTCAGTTATATTAAGTTATTCTATTGTCTATATTTCAGTGATGCTATTGTCTAGATTTCAGTGATTTTCTTAGATTTTATTGTCTAAATTTCAGTGATTCCATTGTCCAGATTTCAGTGATATTCAGATTTTACTGTCTAAATTTCCATGATTCTCTTGTCTAAATTTCAGAGATATTCAGTGATAATATTTTCTATACTTCTGTGATTCTATTGTC